CTTCTTAAGTCCCCAATAAAGTACGGCACCCTTAAAACGGACCCTAAAGGGACACCAATTTAGAGAACTACCCTTTTGAAAGAGGCACCCGTCGAGGCCGAACCGGACGACGTGGCACAGGCCCAATGCGACACGTCAGGTACCTGGACGATATGGGCCGTGACAATTAAGTCTGCACGAAAACACCCCGCGGTTTTTTGTTGCCGGGTGATAAACGGGTTTCGGGTTCTAACTACCCTAAACCTTAAACCTAAACACGGGGCCGAGGCTTTGGGACTTAGTGTTGGGCCGCCGTGCCAGGGCTTTCATGCAGCGTTAGCCAGAAGCACCAAGCCTTGATCCGCGTGCCTCAGGAACCGTTGTCTTTCAAAGGGCCTCTTCTTACGATTTTGTTTGTTTGCATACCCTTAGAAAGATTAGGTATTGTAGAGTCCAGGAAATCCCTGCGCCCAAATACCTACTTCGAGGCACAGCCTCACTAGCTATGAACCGGACTCACTAATAACCCTAAGGCCTGCAGCATAAGCTCCACGGTCAACGGCCCCAACCTTAAAAGACGGCTTGACCCATAAAAGTAGGGGCCCCTACACCCTTATACTACGGATCTCTCTATGGTATATGAACCCTAAACCCTTTTAGCGTTCGTTTCTTCCGAAAGGTAAGCCAAACAAAAGTCCCATGTGTCAGGTGATTGAGTCGGATGAGGAAGGTCCAGGCAAGAGGGCTTGACAGAAGTCTTAATTTCCCAGAGGCTCCATGTACACTACCATTATGGAATTAGGCTTCAAAAGACCATCCTTACTACAGCTTTTGGGGCCTAAATAAATACTGGCAGTAGATATGGAGCCTCTGGGTGCAGGGGCCTCAATAAACACCAATACTGTACTAGTTTGGGGGGGGTTCCTTAATGGATTTATAGTATAATATACCCCAAAACCCCAGTCTAATTGTTAAAGCCCTTGCATTAAGTCTTTGTTTGACCCTTTGCCCTTGGAGGTGGACCTAGACCCTTACCAGTACTACTCTGCTTTCCGTGGTTTCTTTTAGGATCCTAACCGTAAGCACGGCTACATTCTAGGGTCCAGGTAGGGTCTCGGGGGCTCCGTTAAGGGTTTAGGGTTTAGGCAGGCATTACAGCGGTATCTGGCAGAGTGTGTATATATAACGCAACAGCAGCGCGTGAATCCGTGTTCTTCGGCAGCGCCAAGTGGCTCGATGGTGCTTACAAAGCACCCTCTCGCCCTGCCCTTGAAGGTTCACAAAAGAAATGACATCTGAATCTCCAAACGAGTTCTGTCTGCAGTGCTCTTTGTATGGCCTTGTCATAGCGATGCGCCGGGTGAACCTTTGGCATCCTGGCAGAGATCGAAAAACTGTGGAACAGGTTGCGGAGGGTTCACAAGGCCACCCAGCAGCACCATCTTTGCCCAGCTAAGGCTGACGTCCGAAGAACCCCATAAGCACTGAAGTATTGCAAGTCTATAGATTAAGGACCATAAGCCCAAAGGGTCCAAAGTACCTATATGGCAAAATGTAGGGTTTCTATATTAGGGATTGTTATTATGATTTGGGAAAGTATCCTCCATAACACTACCTAGGACCCTTAAGGAAGGACTCTATGAAAGGGGTCCTGGAGACGCAGACCTTACGGTCCCATGAACCCGCCCCGGGCACAGAAACCGGAGCGTCCTTCCAAACCAGAGCATAACTCAATCCTGGAGGATTTAGGGTTTAGGGCTTATAGGGTTTAGGGTGGTAATCCCGACGAACCCTAAACCCTAAACCCTGAACCCTAAACCCTAAACCTGCACATTCAACGGCTGCAGCTACTTCGCAGCGTATATGAAACACAAATATGACGTGTACTCAGCTGAAAAGCGTGCGAGAAAGGTGCGTACATACTTTGAGTTTGCGCTCGCCTTTCAAGTGGTGATCGGCACATGGATAAACACAGCTGTACGAAGGGTGACGAAGGGCTATGAGGCTCTCACGCGTGCGTTTGACGCAGCTCGTGAAGGTGACGACTTGCCAACTGTCATGGGCTATTGCACGCGAGTGGTCAATGGCGATTTTCAACGCCTGTACAATGCACTGCGATTGTGTGCAGAGTATGGGATCGGAGGAGGTGCGATCTTGGGAGACGCGTTGCTCCTACCAGTGTTCGATGCTGAAGCAACTGGAGGCCGCGGATTCAGATGAGAGTCGTCTGGACATACAGCAAACATGATTCTTCCTTCCACAGCATATGGCTGCGCATGTAGCTCAATCTGGAGCTGCTGAACCCTCGCTTTTCAGCGCCGAGCACTCTACGGCCTTGGGAGCGAAGTAGGGCAGAATAGAGGGCAGTTGGAGGGTCAAGGCAACCCTAAGCCCCAAAACCTGAGCATTCAGGGTTTGGGCGGGTCATACTGTTGATAGTATAACTCCTGCATTACCTTCCAGACCCTGACCTATGGGAATTATGGTATATACTCCTTATTGTGGGTAATGCAGGATCTGTATCATCAACCCTGAACCCTAAACCCGAAACCAGGAAACCCTAAACCCTAAACCCTAAACCCTAAACTCCTAAACCCTAAACCCTAAACCCTAAGCCTAAACCCTAAACCCCTAAACCCTAAACCCTAGACCGCTATCATGTATGGCTATACCATGGGTAATGCAGGATCAGTGTCGTCAACCGTTGGGTCGAGGTCGGGTTTATTAATATTATTTTGTTGTAAATGCGACATCCTGGCTGTTGGGATAGACGCAAGAAGCCATCACGGCTCGGCCAGCGGCCCATGTCGTAAGCACTGTAGCGCGGCGGCGCTTGCGCAAGTATGGAGTCTGCATCTCCAAAAAACTAGGAAACCACAAAGAGGTCGGGTTTATGCGTTCCGTCCGGCAGTGCACAGAGACATGAAGGGCTGGGGGCTCAGGGTTTTGGGTTTAGGGTTTAGGGCTTTGGGCTTAGGGCTTTGGGCTTGGGGCTGAGGTTTAGGGTTTAGGGTTTTAGGTCTTAGGGTTTGCGGTTTTAGGTCTCAGGGTTTCGGGTTTAGGCTTTAGCGTTAGGGTTTGGGGTTTAGGCTGTAGGATTTAGGGTTTAGGATTCAGGGTTCAGGGTTTAGGTCTTAGGGTTTAGGTATGAGGGCTGTGGGTTTAGTGCTTGAGGCCTGTATGGTTAACCTGACATGAACCCTGTACCTGAAAGCTTTTACCCAAGATCCTATGCTCCTGAATGCTAGTAAAGCCTTTAGAAACCCATGACCAGGTCGTGAAACCAGATAAATATCCATATCGAACCCGGTATGAAAACCCTGAACCCCAAACTGTAAGACAACCAATCCTGTCGCTCCAAACCCTAAACGCTAAACCATACCCGAAACCTGTCTAAACCAGGCCCTGAACCCTATATCCTAAACCCCTAAACCCTAAACTCCTAAACCCTAAACCCCTAAACCCTAAACCCCAAACTCCTAAACCCAATTCTAAACCCTAAACCCCTAAACCCTAAACCCTGTCACGTCTCTGCAATGCAGGGATGGAAAGCTTGTTAGAGGGCACCTCCCGTGAGACGGCGAGCACCCTGAGGCCGGGCGGGATTTCTTTCGGTTCTTTCGTAGGTCCCACAGGGTTCAGGCTTTAGGGGTTTAGGGTTTAGGGGTTTAGGGTTTAGGGTTTGGGGTTTAGGGTTTAGGGTTGAGGCTTTAGGGGTTTAGGGTTTTAGGGTTTAGGGTTTAGGGGTTTAGAGTTTAGGGCTTTAGGGTTTAGGAGTTCAGGGTTTGGGGGTTTAGGGTTTATACGTTCAGGGTTTAGGGGTTTAGGTGTTTAGGGTTTAGGGGCTAGGGTTTAGGGTTTAAGGCTTTGGGGTTTAGGGTTTAGGACTTCAGGGTTTGGGGGTTTAGAGTTTAGAGTCGAAGTTGAATGATTAATGCGCGGTGTAGGGTTTTGTGATGTTTTGGGTTTGGGGCAAGTTTAGGGTATAGGATGGTGGACTTGTAATCGTCACCTGTGTTTGGTTTGTGGGTTTACGGCTGGTCTAGAGTTTATTACAATCATCTTTTCGTAAGTCTAAGTCCTAGCAACAAAGGTTTTGGCAAGTGTAGTGCTCGCAAACTTGTATATTCTTGTAGAGTTATAGAGGGACTAGATAAACATTAAACCCTAAACCCTAAACCTCTAAACCCTAAACCGTATTGTATTCACCGACAGGTTTCAGGGAGGGCTACAGGTACGAACCGTGGTCCTTTCAGACCCTAGCCGTGTACCTATGTGGTTCCTCATTTGCTCAACCAACTCTATGGCTAGGATCCAATAATACAAGTTTGGTTAAACCAGAAAAAGGAACTACAATGGAGACTATAGGTAGTGTTGAGTTAGGGTTTAGGATTTAGGGTGTATGTTTGAGGCCCGAGGTCAGGGCTGAAGGCCTTCACTCCCACCCCCCAAGCCCGAAAGCCGTTAGCCTAAACCTTGAGGCATCAACACTGCGACTTATAGAACCACTATTAAGGCCCCTACATTACCATTCCTAGCCGGCGAGGCAGGTTTACTTTTTCAAATTCGCCGGAAGCCCTCGCCGTCCATGTACAGTTTAGCGTTTAGGGGTTTAGCGTTTAGGGCTTAGGGCTTACCGCTTTAGGGTTCAGGATTTAGGGCTTAGGGTTTACAGTTTGGGTAAGGGTGTTTGAAAAAAGGCTTTGGGCTTTTATTCAGGCCTAGCAAGGGTTCTTGTACGGTGACTTCAGGCCCTAAGTATATAGTATGGAACATGGGGGGGGGGGGGGGGGGGG